CCAAATTAAAAAAAAAAAAAAAAAAAAAAAAAAAAAAAAGTATTCTCATGTTGATACTCTAAACTGCTAAACATGTATAATGATCAAAGTGTTCCTGTTTTAGAAAACATGAGCTGTAACCTTGAAGATGATACTCCATTTACCTAAGCAGAAAGATATTAATGGCCACTGTTGTTCACCTACAAAAGAAGAAAATATTCTAAAGAAAGGAATTTTTTTCAAAAAAAAAAAAATCATAAAGAGTGCAGAACTCATCCTCCTTATTTTATTTTATTTTATTTTATTTTTTTGTTTGTTTGATTAAACATTTTTTAAGTTTGACTATTTAGTGTTTACTTCTTCACTTTCTTTTTATATTTCTTTTGTTGTAGGGCTGAAGCTTGTTTATAAGGAGTTACGCATAACATGATTAGTGCTTTCACAACTAAGAAAATGAGAGACATTAACAGAGATTCTATCATAAAAATCATGGGGTAGTTTTCCTCAAACCAGCTACACTGTGACAAGATCCATTATTAGTTATGATAAACCTATAAAAGCAAGGCGCCAAGAAAAGAAACATGGCAGAAAATTAAAACTCAAAGCGTACAATTCAAACAAAAACAGAGCATTCGATATGTCCACAGGTGTAATGAATCCTGCAGAGAACTTGCTTCCGTTCATCTCCAATAGGAGCAAAAAGAGTTGAATAACAAAGACAAGTTGACAATGAGGAAGAAAAGACTGACTGTCATGAACTGTAATGCAATGGGTGATCCCAATTGATCATAGCATATACCATGTTGTAAATGGTATGGACAATGAGCATTTGTGGAGAAGTGGACCACCACTCCTCAACACTTACTCTTTAAGATTTCGGTTGATAATAGAGGCATATTCCTAAATTTATCAGGAAATAAAGAATGAAACGAGAAAAAATGAAAAGTAAAAAAGAAAAGGATGTCACTTTTGTTTATGTTTCGCCATATATTATTCATTGCGTAAACCTTTCACAAAATGCTCTGGTTTAATCCAACAGTGAGGAGGCAATACAAATTGGCCCAGAACAACTTAGAGCAAATATCAAAGGAGTTAATAAAACCAGTTGAATGTAGGAGTTCGATCTGAAGCCATTTAAAATCACAGAACGATATTTTAGGATACTGTTTAATTAGAATAATAAATAGAAACAGGAAAAGATGTTAACAACACTGATTAATAGCAAGGTAGATGGGCAAGATAACTTTATACATGGACAGTATCTGTAGCAGCTTCAGTTTTCAATGAAACCACATTTTGTCACAAAACTGATACCACATCCTTCAATCCCTATGTCCATTTCCATTTCAGGATAATTGAAAGCCTCCTAATTCAAAAGAAGAAATACTAATAGCATTCAATATTTGAAAAGCAAGCAGACCTCTAGTTTCACCCATTGTTCAAGATCAAGAGCATTGTTTCTTTAAATAACAAATCCTATCTATAGATCACCTAAAATTTCACACCAAAAGTAATTGACCTCCCTCACCAATTAGCAGTTCACTGATTGGTAATATCATTAATAATTTGACTGGAGAACTGGACCAGCAAACCAGGACCTGAAGAGCTTGCTTTGAGAAGAAGTGTATGCTTCCATAGATACATTTGAATTATCTTTATCTAACCAAGCGAGGGAGTTCCACAAAGTTGATCATTACAATTGCTATGGTAATTTGTAATCTGCAATTACGTGATGCTACCAAATTTTAGATACATTTGAAACTTGAATCAAGATAGAGGAGTTAATGATTATGTCGTTGGACAAATCTACTGCACTATTTGCCAAAAGGACCACCGTTCTCCACAGGCATAATAGAGGCCCCTTATCAAGAGAACAGAAGATGTGAAATTGCCAACAAAGAAATGAAAGAAAGAAGAAAATGGTAAAACATTCTCTACAAACAAGGTAATTGAATTAAATGGTATACTACAATATCAAGAGTGATAACTGAAAAAAGTGCAATATGGTATAATTCTAATAACCTACTTAAAAAATTGACGGACAAGTACCGCAAGAGCAAATCAAAATTACAATATGAACAGAAAAGGTACTTAGGTGAAAAATTATACTTGTACGCCAGTTGTATTGTGAAAATAACAACCAAAAACATTGCTTCAAATTGTATGTGAAATTGACAAAGAAGTTTTAATGAAGAAATGGTACAACAGTTTAGGAAAAACAAAAATCATTATAGGAAGCTCATTTTTCTGGGATCTAATGTCATTGCGAAAATCAATCCAGCTTTTGAACCAGAAATACTTGCGCCAAAACTATGAAGACCAAGATTGCAACCAAAATGAAGCACAATAGGATCAAATACTGCAAGCCAGAAAGTCAAGGAAGGTGCAAAAAAAGGAAAAAAGTAGGAAAAATGGAAGATGAGAATGAAGAAAAAAGGCATCCTAAGATATAATGTCCATCAAAAAAAATCATATGAAAAGGATACAATCCATAACAATATGGAGTTGTTCTTCAACGCGCCCAAGAACCCAACTACGGATCTAAATATCAAACAAAAACAGGTCTTTGTGTAACAATGTAAAGCTGCAGTATAAAACTAAAAGTTGTTTTTGACAACCTATCAAAAAAAAAAAAAAAAAAAAAAAGTCATTATCAAAAAGTTAACTGTTCTTTCTATTTTTTTTACACATCTTTTCATAAAAAATAAAAAAATCAACAAAAATAACTAGTTTCCAAAACAACCCTAAGAACGAATCCCACAAACTAAAAGAAATTACAGATTTTACATTACAAATATGATGGCACCGAGGCCTTGAACTGGGAGAGTGAGAGACTTTCGACAGCCATC